TCTGGTACTGATGGTTGTGGCTGCACCGTTTCTTTGTTGCGCTGCTGCTGCGGCTGGTGGCATGGTCCCCCGAACGAGAATGGCCACACCTGCAGCCGACGACGATTCCTTGGTGACACTCAAGAGCTGCTTTCCCAGCGTTATACTTATTAATTCCAGCTTCGTGTACACCTGCGAAGTTGACAATGCCCAACCACTGATTGGCTCAAACCTCTTCGCCGCGTACTCCACCTCTGTTGTCGATCCTGGCTGGCCGGCGGCTCTTGATGCGGGAACCAATACCATTACATTCAAGCCTAATGGTCGTAATCCGACTTCAGGACGTTGGGACATAGCCATTATAAGGTTTCCCGATCCACCCAACATTTTCTCTATTCTGACGACCACTCTGAGCATAGAGTTGATGATGTTTAATGAAACCGAAGCAACTTTCAATACACCCTCTCCATATTACGGTATGAGTGCATCGCTTGCACCCAATCTCCCGAGTGGCACCACGGCTTCGAGCTTCATGCTGGTCCGCTCTTTCAATAACTGCTGGTACACCAATAGTACCTGCACCGCCTCTGCTGGGTGCTACAAAATGCCACCACCCGGATATCTTCCCCCTCCAGGCGAATACTGGCTCTGTCTGACGTCAAATGGCTGGCATGACCAATACCTTCCGTGGGGTGCGGAATCTCTTGAGGTGAAGGCGCTGATGGTCACACCGCTGTACTTGACAGCTGGTAAAGACAAAAATGTCGTGCTGCAGGATGCGGAATCTGTGGTGACGAAGCTGAACCGTGTGTTCCTGGCGTGGTGCCCTGGCAACAACTGCCCCCTTGTGACTATTGGCAGTGGGGAAAAGGTGGTGCACCGTGATGCGTGTGTGAACACCTCCGGCTCGTCGCGTGTGAATCTGTCCGACCGCCGTGCGCTGTCTGCAGAAGCTGGTGTGTACGCTGTGTGTGTCGATGATGATGGTGATGGAGAGTACACTGCTCCCGCTGCGCTGCCGGTGACGGTGCTG